GTTAGTGGAAAGAAAATGAGGGGGAAATAACTTATTATATTAGGTTATTAAATAAATTTATAATTTATCAATATTATTCAAAAAAAAAAAAGTTTACTTTTCAACACACTTTTATTTTACTGGTTCTTTTACGTGATGTGCGTTGAATTTACTTTAATTTTTTTATTTATATAATGTTAATATAAATTCTTATTTAGATTAAAATACACATAATGAACATTTCTTACAATGTAACATCAAATTGAAGAGAAAACAATGTTTTTGCTTCTCTTTTTAATAAAAAAAATTTATTATTTGTTATTAACAATTATATAAAATAACTAAAACTTTGCATGTACCATATTGTAAAATACTTATAATTTGGTGATACTATGACATTACCTTATTAATCAAGACATATTCTATGTAGCCACAATATATAATATAAATTTGATTTTCACATCAATTATTTTTGTTAGATGAAGTTAAGCTGAAATTTTGTCAATAGTATATAATATTTTGGACACTATTTCTTTTATACAAAATCTAAAAATAAATTGCTTAAAGTTCTCAGCTCGATATCAATGTGCAAACAACAATATTGGTAAGGGAATATCCTTTTTCAAGTTTATAAATAGATATAAATGATTATTAAATTCAAAATTTTCAAAGTCCTATATATCTATTTAAATAAATATTTAAAGAAAAATTAAAATCTCAAAGATCTAATTATCTTTATACCTATTTTAAAAATTATTTCAAACAAATACATTCAATTAAATCATAGAAAATTAAATGAAATTTAAATTTAAAAAAAATAGAATAAAATATTGAATAAAAAGAGAGCTCTTGAATTTCTTTTTATTTCATCTTAAATATAGAAAAGCTGAAAATAAAAATGATAGCAAATATGTCTAAATAGTCATTTTTCATTAATCTTTTATACCCCATTTTTTTAAAAAATATTTCATTAGGGTAAAAAGGACAAACTTTCATATTTGATATATTAGTCAAATACTATCATTCATACTTTTATTATTTTTGTTAAATTAAAATTATAAAAAATTTTAAAACACAATAATGTGTAAATAATCCAAGTACGTATAAATCACAGGGAAACAATATATTTTAAAAAATATATTTTAATTTTATTGTATTTAACTAATAGACTCTAATAGTAAATTATTTAACCATATTTTAAAAAATTTAGAACATAATAAATTAGAAGAATTTAAATGTATTAGAAAAGCTGAAAATCAAAAAAATGATAGCCAAATATGTCTTTAAAATAGTCATTTTTCAATTAATCTTTTATACCCCATTTTTTTAAAAAAATATTTCAATTAGGGGTTGGTAAAAAGACAAAACTTTTTCAGTATTTGATATATTAGTCAATACTATCATTCATACTTTTTTATTATTTTTTGTTAAATTTAAAAATATAAAAAATTTAAAACACAATAATGTGTAAATAATTCCAAGTACGTATAAATTCACAGGGAAACCAAATATATATTCTTTAAAACATAATTATATTTTAAATTTTATTGTATCTTAACTAATAGGACTCTAATTAGTAAAAATTAATTTAACCATATTTTAAAAAATTTAGAACATGAATAAATTAGAAGAATTTTAAGTTTTTAACTTTCAATATTTAAATTAATTAGGTTTTCTGATTTATACGTCCTATATGAACACATAATATCTACATAAAAGAGAACCTATAATTGGAAGGTAAATTCAAAATCTTATAATTTAATAAAAAATATTTGTGATATTAATATTGGCAAGAAATTCTCGCATATTAACATCAAAATCTATTAATTATAAAAATTATTGGATAATAATATTGCAAGATCAATTAGAGAATATAAATATACATATTCCTCGAATTAAAATGCATAAAAATATAATTAAAAAGGATATTCAAAAGCATAAATAGAATATATTTCCCTAACTTAAAAGACATAAAATAAATATAAGTAAAAGGATTTTCAAAAGGATAAATGAACTTATTTTCTCCAATTAGAATGCATTAAACATCTAACTAAAATGATATATTGGAAATTTCAAATTAAACTAATGCTAGTATATAAAAATTTCATTATTCCTCATTATTCCCACGTTTACATATATTATAGAAAATTTTAATATTTGTTATGTAATATTATATATTATATATTATATATATATATATATATATATATATATATATATATATATAATATTATATATTATATTATATATAAAATATTTAAGTCTATATATAAAATATTTTAGTCTACTTAAATTTGCTTTTGAGTTTGATTTTGTTTCAAATATATATCTTATATATAAAATCTTGATGTTGATTACATAATTTTTTTTTTAATATATAAAGTTTGATGTTGTTTCAAATACATATGTGCAATGCGGTTTTGACGGAATTCAACCAATAAAAATGAAAAAAAAATCGATTTTTTTAAATATAAGTTAATGTGAATCCATGATTTAAAATTTTGATTTTTTAGTTTTAACTATTTTTTGGAATAATTCAATTAGAATTTATATTTTTAAGGTTTTCTTATCCTTATCTTTCTCCTAATTAAAATATTTAAAATTTACAATTAAATATTATAAATATTTTTTAAAATAATTTTTTAAATGGCTATAACTAAAATTATTTTAGAATATTTTAAATTTCATCAAAGATATTATCAGAAATTCCATTATTCCTTATTCCCCTTCTATTCCCATATATATATATATATATTTATATATATATATATATAATATATATATACTATTTATTATATATATATAGTATAGATTTAGATGAATGGACCGGATCGTAGACACGATGGGACAATTATATATATATATATATATATATTATCGTAGGACCGATGGACCGAAATAATACTATGAGTTATAATAGTATAGATTTAGATGATGGGACCGGATTCGTAGGACCGATGGACAATTATATATATATATATATATATATTATTCGTAGGACCGATGGACCGAAATAATACTATGAGTTATACAGCAGGGTAGTTCTCACTTGGACTCACCAAATTGGTGAAAATACTTATGATTGAGAGGATTGAAACTCAAGACATCTCATTCCTCACATAAGTGAAAAGATCAATCAGTTTACACATGATTTGCATGTTTATTTATTTTTTTTTTTGATATATAAAATTGTACCTAAAAGTATATATTATTTTACTGTATATGAAATTTATTTAAATAGAAAAATAACAAAACCTTATGCACTTTCTGTAAATTAATCAGAAATAATTATAAAATCTTTACTCCAAAAATTACAATTTTGCAATATTCTCAATTTGAAAGCAAACTAAATAATCTCTCCCTGCCTCTCCTTAACATGTGGATTGTGGATTCCAGGTTGTTATGAGTAGAAAGAAGAGACAAGAAAGAAATAGAAAATTTTTAGTGTCATTATCCCACAGCACATGACAGGGACCAAGCAGCTTGGTGTGAGCATTACTTAGCCTTTATGAACAAAAAATCCTAATTAACTACTCGGATCATTGGTTAGGTGTTAATGTCTCAATTTAAAATACTCCACAGGTGAATTGAGCCTCCAACCACTAATGGGAGACATTACTTCCTTCCTGCAGGATCGTAGCATTGCGGTCCTCAACCCACGACCGTAGAGTCCAGCCTAAGACAGCCCACAAAGTGGGCCGTGGCTTCTAAGTAGTAGAGTCAATATTTAGACAACATAAATAATGGGATGCTGTCATGGAGGATTGAACCTAGATAAAACAGGTAGATGATCAACATCTTTATTACCAGCCACCATTTCGGGTGATGTTATTCTCTACAAGTTCATGTCATTGTTTTATGTAACCATAGATTTTTGTTGTTACTTAGAATACCATATGTAGCCATATAAAAAGAATGTCTAGATGAGTAGCTTTAAGTTTTTGTTTGATGAGTGATGATAAAATGTAATGTAATAAAGCGTACTTTACTATAATATTGTTTATAATTGATGTATATTTAATTAAAGTTAAATTATATTCTATTACGACTCACTAATAATTATATCTAATAATTTAAATCTATATAAATTATTAACCAATTTGTAAATTTATCTCCACATCAAATAATTATAAATTCTAACTATAAAACTTATGGGCATCGAGAGAACTAAGATTGTACTATTGTCAAGGAGACTAAACAAAGCTATTAAGACTAACCCCACACATCTTACAACGTCGTTAATGTCAGGCCACATCGTCACACATGGCGGTCGCCAATGAGCTTTGGAGACGGGGAAGCTTCATCCCTCACTTACCAGATGCCAGGAGTCTAAATATGTTGTGCGAACCCACCCATTTACCAGGTTTTGCTCTAAAAAGTTTCAAAAGATGCGAGTCTTCTTGGACTTGGTTCTTTCTCAGCATTCAGCCATTTTTGGTGTTAGGTACCAAAATGCTTCTAAATGAGACCAAAAATGCTCAATCTAGCTAATAGAAACTAGTAAAAAGTAAAAACACGATAGTAGAAAATTATTAGTGAAGGCCGCTAGTAGCGACCTTGGTGGCATCGGTTCGTTCAGTATCTGAATTTGACCGAAATTACTGCCATGCCCTTCCTTTTTGGCAAAATCACTGATCCTATCCCTAAGGTTAAGCTATTTAGTCTTCCTATCCGCTATAGATTAAAAAAAGATTTAATTATAAATTTGGTATTTTAACTTTGCGAAAAATTCTATTTTAACGTTTCAATGGAAAAATTTTACAATTAATTATTTATATTTATTAAAAATTTTCGAACAAGTATCTTTGGCTAATTTGGCATGCCGGAAATACAGTAACTTCAGATACTGTTATGTCATGTCAGAATTTTTTCTAAGTTAGATTAACACGTTGAGTAGGCAATTGATAATTGGGCATTGTGACTGTAACCACTAAAATTTAACTTACTAAAATACCCTTACCTTCATTCTTAAAATTTAACTTACTAAAATAACCAAAAAAATACGTTTGGATACTAGGGGCTTTAAATATAATTGAAAGAGAGAGGTGGAGAGCACGAGTTAGAAATTGAAACATTAGGGTTCTTAACTGGAGATAGAAAACGGGGTGTGCAGATGTGGGAAACCTTGCGTGATTCGAACTTCGTGGACGGATTCAAACCTACGAAGAAGATTCATGTGCTGCGAGTCAAGATATGTGAGTTGTTATTTTCTATAGTGTTTACATTCATGGGTTTGCGAATGGGGATGAAGCAACTGATTTTGTTTTGCAGGTGAGGCAGAGGCAGGGATGCAGGTTTTTTGAATGGGTGGATCCGGTGATTTGTAGTAGGTCGAAGCAAATCATTCCTGGATTGCTAAGGAAGGTGAATAACTTGGAAGCACAGTTGAGGGGGCAACAAAGAAGGGAAAGATTATTGTAGACTTGGGTAGTCATTTGAATTTTTTTCATCTTGTTAAAATGACTGTAGTGTAAGTGTAGTTAGGAGTTAGGAGAGTATGTTCTATTAGGTGTTTATTTAGTAGATTATAATTTGTAGCCATGTATGACACATGTTTGATGAAATGCTTCAAAGAACGGGATAATTTGCAATTAGGCTTATTTATGGTGTTTTGTCTAATAGAGAAGCATTTGTAGCCATGTACTCAGATGAATTGCTTCAATGAAAATGAAAATCTGTTTCTGTCATGTAATTGTGTTTGTTTGTTCTTTTTATTCGCTTCAAATGCATAAGTATTTATTTATTGTACTCTGAATAAAATGTAGCAGTAACTGCACATGAAAATGTTGACAATCATTAACATGTATGTAAGAAAAAGCCATAAAGTGAGCAAGCATGAATCTTTAATATTCAATAAACAGCAAGCATGATGCAACAACAAGTAAGACCAAATAAACTGCAAGCATGAATAAACAAGAAGTCATATAGATAAACAGCGAGCATCAATATGGCCCAGGTGAGACATCAATATGGCCGAGGTGAGACACCAAAATAGAACTTTTCGCAAAGTTCTAACACCAAATTTATAACTAACCCTTAAAAAAAATAAAATCCACAAATATGAGTACGAATAACTCTAGTTATTTATTTAGAACATTTGTTTCTCAATAGATATAAGTAATAACGTGTTAAATATGAATGACTAAATAATTTAACAGTGAATAATTATTTATGAAATAATGACTTACTAAATAATAATTACTTAATAAATGATTAAATAATTTACTAAATAATAACTAAATGTTACAATGTATTTTAATAGTGAAAGCAATATTTTTAGATAGAATGATTAAAGTCTAGCTCAACAGATTTTTGGAACTAGCTTTTATCATTTTGACCAAGTTAAAACTCTCTCTCACTCTTTATTGATTGTAATATTCGGTAACATAAATTTTATAATAGTTTTTACAAGTTGAAAGAGCTTTTTTTTGTGAAACTTTCAACACCGTTTAACATTTAGCTTTAGGGTTTAATTTTTAATTTTTATACTCCGTTTATTACCGTAAAATAACTTGTAAGAAAATAATTTGCTGAAATATATTTTCCATGGAAAAAATATTTTCCAAATTACTTATTTTTCATTGTTTAGTTATAATATTGAAAATTAGTTAAAAATATTAAAGTCTTTATCTCATAAGACCATGAAAAAATTAATAATAATAGAAATTTTATAATTTATAAATTTTATTGTTAAACATGAGAAGAATGCAAAAAAAAAAAAAGGGTATAATATTGAAAATTAGGTTAAAAATATTAAAGTCTTATCTTCATAAGACCATTGAAAAAATTAATAATAATAGAATTTTATTAATTATAAATTTTATTGTTAAACATGAGAAGGAATGCAAAAAAAAAAAAGGTTAAATTATGAAGACCAACGCGGGGGCGGTTTGATGGTGACCGCCAGTGGTGATCAGTGGGAAATGGTTGACTGGGGTAGTGACTTATGATTGATAAATAAATTAAAAAAAACATGAATTTATAAGGTTGTCAATATTCCGAAAAATTTTACTCTCTCGAAAAATAGAAAGTTATTTTCCTTAAAAATGACTTAATTTTCTTTTGACCAGGAAAAATATCTTTCCGTTGACTTATTTCTTTACTCTCTCGAAAATAGAAAGTTATTTTCCTTAAAAAATGACTTAATTTTCTTTTGACCAGGAAAATATTTTCCGTTGACTTATTTTTCTGAATGCCCCAAACAATGGAAAATTATAGAGAATATTTTTCTGTAAGTTATTTTATAGAAACAAACGGAGTCTTAATTAATTTTTTTTGATATCATATCAATATTTTTCCTCCAAATACAGCTAATTAAACAACTAATCTCTTTTTTTGTTATTTTAAATTAAACAATTATTTTTACTGAACACTTCTAATGTAAACCGCTATATAAACAGATATCAAATAGCTGATAGCTAATAGTTAACCTCTAATAGCTAATAACTAATAGAACAGTTACTAAAACAACTAACAACTACTACCTACGGGTTGTAGCTCAGTTGGCAACACGGGCTAAGCATGTAGGAAGAATTCTCAAATTCGATCCCCACTAAATACACCTACATGAAGAGGTGAAGAGCCTTAATTGTGACTAAGCCTCGAGCCGGATTTAGTCGATCCCTGCTAATAGGATTCGAATACCGGCGAGTTACAAAAAAAAAAGAAAAAAAAAAGCTAACAACTACTAAAACAATTAATATTACTGAACATACCTTAAACAATTTAATTGAACTAAAACTTAGAGATGAATTTGTGGTTTTACCAAACAGTGAAGATATGATAAGTAACTTCCACCAAAATTAAAAGTCTAAATATTTAATTAATTACTCTTTTCATTGTCAAATAAATAAATTCACTCTTGTATTTATTGTAAAAAGACCTTGTAACACCCTAAATTGTATGAAAGACCTATTACATACCTCCTAAATTTATGATTTTTTGATAATATTATACACCTCCCTACACTAAAAATTAGCTATTATCAAGATTGTTTACTTTTATATATAAAATATTAATTTGATGTGTTGTTGACATAACTTTTAACATGTTGACTTTCACTTTTGTTTAATCATCTAATAAGTGTTTAATTGATCAAATTTTATAAGTTGAAGTATTCAATAAAATAATTTTGGAATTGAAATATTTAACATATAAAATTTTATATATTGAAATGTTCAATAGATAAAAGTAAAAAAATCTAATACAAAATTTGACCCTGAACCTTTATCTCCTTGTGGCTTGAGCTTTGCAGGGTTGAATCACGACCCTGCACTTTCACATTCAATAATAACTATATTTATCGCCAAAATGAGATAACTTTATGGAGTTCAATCATAAACCTGCATTTTCCCATATCATTTTAGCAAAAAGTATAGTTATTCTAAAATATTAAAGTATAAGATTATGATTGAATCCCGTAAAATTCAGGGCGATATTTCAGATCTAATTTCATGATAAAATTTATGTATTCGGCCCTTTTATCTTCCCACACATGTAACATATCACATGTGTTTCAACATCTGATGCTTCTTTTGATGGATGTATAGACATGCAATTTTCTTGGTTTGTACTAATGGTGTTGGATCACGAGCCTTGTACGGTAAACAAGAAGGGACAATTAATTCCTCTGCTTTCTCAGCTTTATCGCATCTTTCCATTTTTAGCTCCAATTCTCGCTGCCGTTCTACTAAAGAGTGCGGAAGGTCGTCCTGGCTGGCCCAAAGTTGCAGCGTTCTTCTTCCTTTTCCCTTTTCTCTTTAACTTCTTTTTCTTTTTCTTTTTCTTTTTCTTTCTTAAAGAAATATATGCAAATGCAATTCACACACATACATATAACTTATTTAGTTAGTGGCAAGTTAATTACTAAGAGTTAATCCAATGGATGATATTTAATTAATAAATCTTACAGTATAGAAAAGCATCTGTATCAATATAGAGTATTTGTCATTCACTACTATATATAGTTTTGCTCTATATTTGAATAAAATTAGTTATAATTCTTATTTTCAAAATTTAATTATTTACTCTCTCAACTTTTTATTCTTTCATTAATTGCTACTGAAAAGACATTATTATCTCTAATAAATGCATATACTAATTAAATTTAATGTAAAAGTCTCTAAAAGAAGTATATTTAGTTATATTCATAAACACTAATTAGGAGGCCTTATTTTAAGAATTTAATTATATAATCCCTTAATTTTGTCTTAATTTTGTCCAAATTACACTTTTTAATTTTTTTGAGTAACTATAAATTTAATAAAAAGATTATAAATTGTGTAACAGACGTAAAATCGGAGGAGTATATAATTAAATGAAACTATAGATCCTGTTTGGAGTATAATAATAATCAGAGGACTAAATAGTAATTCACTTTAGTGAAAACAAAATACTATGTTGTTAGAGAACATTTACGGTCCGTTTGGAACAAATAAATTATCGTTGTAAAATTCATTTGTAAATAAATTTCAAGTAGAATTCATTTGCAAATGAATTTGTCATGTTTGGTGTGCTACAATTTAAAATAAGAAATTCAATTGAATTTCATAAAATTATTTTTGAAATAAATTCATAAATGAAAATTCATTTGTCTTTATTTCTTATAACACCCTTGACATAATAATTTAATAAAAATAAATAACAAATACCAATTATATTTATTAAATTATTTGTCTTTTATTTCTTATAACACCCTTGACATAATAATTTAATAAAAATAAATAACCAAATACCAATTATATTTATTATGTACAATATAATAACTTAGTCATTTTTTTAATAAAATATAAAAATAAAAAATTTCATATAAATAAGCTACTATTAATATCATGCCTACAGTAATAATTATAATAAGCAGTAACATTCATTCATAATAATTATTTTTAATTGATGTAAAAAATTTATTGATTTAAGTAATTAATTAAAAACTTAAAAAAAAAATTTATTAAGAATGCTCACTATTATTTTTAATGCATTTTGAAAATAATTAGTTGGGATGGCTCAATTTTTAATTTCATGTTAATAATAACTAAACCTTATTACTTAGACTTCAAAAAAAAAAAAAAAATCACTATTGGTGGAATTTTTCCAAAAAAAACTAAAAAGGAAAAAGAAAAAAATATTAAATATAAAATTAAAAAAAAAAAAAAAAAATCACTATTGGTTTGGAATTTTTCAAAAAAAACTAAAAAGGAAAAGAAAAATATAAATATAAATTAATGTCATTATTGGATTAAAAAAAATAACATTGTTATAGTCTGAAATTTTCCAAAGAAAATAAATAAAAAGGAAAAGAAAGTAAAAATAATTAAATTTATAGTGGAGGGTAATTTGTCAATAAATATTTCAATGGTTAATTTTATGAAATTCATTTACAAATTCTATCAATTTTAGTAGAATTTGAGTTAGGCATACCCAATTCCATAGGATTCAATTCGTAGATTTCAAATTTATATTTTTTTATTCCAAACACAATATTTTGGATTTCTAAATGAATTTTACAAAATTTTATGAAATTCATTTGTTTTAAACGGGCTCTTAGATTGACGCGATGTGAAACTCTATTCATAAAATTTTAGGTATATATCTATGGGGAAAGATTTACCTACATCCAGTGTACGGGTCCATGACATATATCAAACTAATTAAAATAATTTTTTAATTTAAATAAGAATATTTCTAACCATTCAC